CAGTGGGAACCGCTACGGAGAGCTCGTACCGCGAGTCGACAGTGATGATGTTGACCTGGTCGCAGCTAAATATATGACCATGTTGCTTTCAATGGGCGCCCCCGGAGACGTTTCGAAGCATACTTGAGGTCCTTTCGGGCGTGCCAGACAAGAGGAAGCTGGGAAAACTGTCGGGGTCGATCGCGACCATGACGAAGTCGTCGGCAGAATACTGCCCACCAAGCAACGAGTTACACCGTACCGGTTTGGAGGTGCTGCGTCGTCGTGGTCGTTGGCCTATAACACAAAGCGTTGGAGTAGATGCTGGAGCCGTCGGGGTGCTGCAAAATGTGCTCGAGCGTCGCGAGCGGCGAGACAAACGGAAAGAGAGACTTGTCGGTCGCGTGGACATGCTCGAAGGTACGGGCACCCGCGAGGCTACAGTACCAAGTGCCTGAAGGCCCGCACAAAGCGAAGAAACGAAATGTGTGATTGGTAGAAAAGCAGTCGCCGCGACCAATCGCCGCGACCCATTTGTTGTTTGCGACGCCGGATTGGTAGAAAAGGAGGCGTTGCCAAGGTTGATCGACGAAGCAGAGAAAAAAGAACAGCGGTCGTGAGAATGGCCAAGCGTGGGCGTGGCAGCAAGCGGGTTCGATGGCCACGAGGCCTCTCTCTGTCCCTCATCGAGCGCTCGCTAGGCCTCATCATCCGTCGTAACGACGTCAAGAGCCATCCTCCCCGCGACGGCCGCGAACGGAGTCGCTGCCATGGTCAGCAAGCGGCTTCAATGGCCACGAGGCCTCTCTCTGTCCCTCATCGAGCACTTGTTAGGCCTCATCATCCGTCGTAACGATGCCAAGAGCCGTCCGCATTGCTACCGTGACGGCCGCGAACTGAGCCGCTGCCATGGCACAGCAGACAAAGCGCGGTCCCTACAAAAAAGAAAAGTACGTGGCGAATCGGCCGGTGCGAAGATGCTCACGCCAACTGCAGGGCCCCATGGAACCTGAAGAAGCGAGTCTTCATCATCCATATGCTGAAGACGAAGGGCCGCCGATTCAAGGACATTTTGGCAGAGGGCAATAAGAGCTACATCTTCGAACCCGGTCGCACGAAGGACGACGTGCGCGTACGCGTCGTACATGCATGCAGGAATGCGATGCATGTGGGTTGCGACACGTAGGGTGAGGCCGACCGCCTGAAGAAGGGGTACCCCGAAGTCGCATTGCCTCGCGCGCAGCCCCCGGTCTCGTACTCGCAAATCGAGTCGAGGTTTATCGTCGCGGCAAAGAAGGTCCTCAACAAGGACCCCGAATTGGAGATCATCCGAGTGGGCCAAGCCACTGGTCTGCTCGAGGTCACGTACACGTCCAGGCAAATCACGGTACGGCTCTGCTTTGTCGTCGGGTGTTGATGGACGCATGCTACGCAAATAGGATAAGCTCCGTAAGATGGCAATGAGAGCGAAGACCGTGGAACCCGTCGCGACGCTCCAGTGCTTTGTCACCTGCAACGACTCAAGCGTCGACGCGAGCCCTTTGGTTCTTGACGTGTCGGCAAACGATTACATCTTTGAGGTCAAGTTGCAGTTGTGTGCGACTTGCAACCTCGGTCTCGGGCCCCTCCAACATCTCGCACTGTTGCACGACGGCACGGTTGTCCAAGACGTCGCCGTCGTGCAACAGTGCGAGATGTTGGAGGGGCCCGAGACCAAAGCAGCGCCGCTTGCGACGAGCGACCTGCCACCCAACAAGCGCCGCAAGTTTCGCTGACGTCGCTTGTACGAACCGCTTCTTCATACTATGCCTTTATACAGTTGTTGCTTGTTTAAGACGTTGTGTCTGCGTGCATCCGTGTCGTCCTTGCTTCTGCGGTTCCAGCATCTCGCACTGTGTATACAAGGTAGCAGGAGAGAGAGCTAGCTGCTTCGAATGCATCGTGCCAAACCATCGCAAGGCAGTTGCTTTCACCAGCTCCAACTTTGGCTGCTTTAGGTCATACGATAGCGCCCCAAAAGCGTTCCTTCTCGCGCCGTTGGCCGCCTCCTGACCTCTAGCACCGTCGATGGCGCCAAGTGACGGCAGCCTCAGCCTTCAAGGATCGTCGCAACAACATCTAGTCGACGTACCATCGCTGTTGAGAGACCAAGTCTCTTAGCTGTCCAAGCCATGCCTTGCTTCTACATAGTAATAGGGATATAATGAAAGACCAAATGGAGGGAAGAAAGATGAGCTCCGCTGTTAACGTGCATATAAAAGAGTGCTAGAAAACGTTCTAGCGCGCGCCGAAGCGGCAGTAGAGAGGCTTGGAACGGCCGCGACGCGCGAGGACCTTCATGTTTCGAGTCTGCATAGGCCGCAATGGCTGCCTCGTCGTGCACTCAATTCGAGCGTGATGTCCGGGCGAACTTCCAGTGCGTCCAGAAGCGCCATGATGTCGGTGACGCGGAGGGTATCGTCGCTGGACCGGAGGTCGAGTAAAAGTGGGGGCGCTGTCTAGGAGAGCAAGAGCCCCAGCGTCTCATACCGGTAGACGTGGAAGTCGCACGAGCGAAGCGACACAACCGAGAGGCGGTGCGTCCACAGACCAATCACATGCTGGAAGAGGCCCAACGACGCGGCCGGAATGTGGTCCATGTCGCGCCAATGCACTTTGTCCAAGTTGGGCAGCTTGGACGCCCAGAGAAGAAAAGGCTCAGCGTCCATCGACACGGTCAGCACCTTCAAGCTCGGCAGCGGAGTGGCCATGAGCGCGCCCGGTGCCACCGTGATGTTGTCATCCCGCAGCGCCAGCTCTTCGAGGAGCGGCATCTGACTGAGGAACGGAAGTAGGCAGTTGAAGTCGTCCAAGCCGCCGGCGTCGAGGTGCGTAAGGTTGGAGACATCGAGGAGTGCTATCAAGTCATGGATGTTGCCGCGCAAGAGTCGAGTGTAGAACTGCACCGCCTTCGAGTGGTGCAGAGGTCTGCGCGCGGCAATGAGCGCGCCTCCGAGTCGTCCAAATGCAGGTTCGTGATGGACGTGACTGTCGCGAGCATCGCCGCAATGGCATCTGCGCTTGCTGCCGAGTTGAAGGCGTTGAGGGCAAGGCCAGTGACGCGCCCAGCTCGGAGGCACCGCGCCAATGGGTCGAGCAGCAAGTCGTCGACGTCGTTGTGTAGCCCCAGCAAGCGTACGCTGGGCGACGTCACTTCGAGATGAGACATGAAAATCTCGACCTTCACGAGACGTGCGCACAAGGGCACGATGTCTCTAAACTCGGGCACGTTAAACCACTCCTTGCCATACATGCCGACCTCCTTGAGCTTGGACGGCAAGGCGGCGAGGAGCGCCGGAAGGTGGCGGCCGTGCACGCTGTACCTTGGGGGGGGACACACTTGGGATCGCGGGCAGCGCGGCCAAGACGAGATCCAAGTCCTCTTCCGAGATGGTGGTCATGTTCACCTTCGGCCGCTGACGGTCGAAGGCCATGAGCGTTGTCATGAGCTCGCTACGAGCAAGGCCGTCGCGTCCTTCTGCGACTTCACGTAGCCGACGAGCCGGAAGCGCCGTCGGCGGCTCGAGCTTCGACCTCTTGGCCATGTTGCGTCGCGAAGTGGCTTGCGGAGTTGCTGGATGCGATTTAAATATACCCCATATCTTTCACATACAAATAATAAGGTATAAAATAAAAATACACCATGCACGCTGGTGATTGGCTCATTTTTCGATTCCGGAGCCGCTCGATTTGAACGTGGCAGCAGCAGGTGCAAGCTTGAGTCGGCGGGGTCACAAGACGATAGAGAGGCGTAGGGTATGGCGCACGGAGCTGGGAAATCGTCAACTATCAAAGGTCTCTTGCTTGGCGGTCTGGTACGGTCTGTGAGAAAGCTATCAAAGTGCATTAACACGCTGTTCTTTGAGCTGGCGAAGGGATACGATAATCAAACTACAGTTGACCACGGTAGAGCACGGTAGCTGCATGTTGGCGGTGAAATACCTGTGACGTCTACTTGAAGACAACATATAAACATCGTGCTACCTTCGTGGTTAGGGGTGCTGGCCTACTACACGGGATTTCCTGGGAACAGCCTTGCTGCGTTGACAGCCATCTCAGCGGAACAGCCAGCGACAGCGTATGTTGCTTCTCGCAGGTTATTTCGTCCTGGTCGCATGCAGGCGCATCGGTGTAGCGCCTATGGTTGTTGCCAATGACACGTCTGGCATATCGGCACCAGGGCAGCGGTTTGGTTCTGGCCTTGAGGCTGAGAGAATAGCACCGAATGCATCAGATTAGGTGCTCTATATGCTTTACGCACCAATCGCCCATGTCTGCTTGACTGTGTGATACACGAGCCAATGGTCGAGAAGGCAAATAGAGCACCTATATAATTAGGTGCGTATTTCAAAATAAAATATCGGTAGTCGTATTAATACTTGGTTGCTGCTTCGATACGCCAAGAGGTCCTTTCTCTGTTGCGAGCCACTGCGGGAACGTACCAAGTGCCCGGAACCGTGCGCGCTGAAGAAGCTCACCACGTCGAGCAAGAGGAGCTATCGCCGTCGTCTCGGCACCGCTTGGAGAGCGCGCCATTTGCAAATTTATAGTACAGTGGTGCCAGACGCTGGGATCGGTGTCGTACCTGCCGCTCAAACTGTCGACGTAAAAAGCGTGCATGGCTTTCGAGAGCAGCGCGGTGTCTGCCGTCGCTGTCGTTGTGGCCTCGACGCACATCGCTGGTATGGCGCCAAGGCCACGTCTGCGTCAAGAGCGTGGGCAAAGGGGCGTACTGCGCCAAGAGCTTGAGAACGGTGACGATATTCTCGACGTTTGGGTCGTGTCTCCTGCGCGTCGATGGCTGCTTCGTAGAAACGACGACACTGGACGTGTAGAATCCATAAATCCATACAACGTCGAGGATAACTCGAAACAAAAACATTGGATTGTGCGAATTGGAGCCATGGCCCCAAGCGAGAAACGTCGCTGGTCGCGAAATTGATTTTTTACGTTCATTTGAATTATGGGACCGCAAGGGCTTCTGGCGCCGACGCGCTGCATGCATGCAGTTTTGACGACGGAAGCGAATGGCAGCAGCGATAATCGCACGACCAGCGAGCCCTTGCGGCGAGCGCACCCTTGGGCGCCGGCCCCCGCGGGTGCTGAGCGAGCAAGAGCTGGTAGCATGTACCTTGAGGACATCGCAGTACGAAGGACAGGCGGCACCAAATAGAGGACGAGAAACACCACGTACTCGCACTGGTACGCGACCCACTCGGGGTGTCGCAGTGGCGCCGGACGTCGTTGGCACCATACGCGT